GACCTTTTAGGTCAGACCCGTGGTCGGGAAACTGCGGCTCATGAGCCACGTGCGGCTCTGTGGCCCCTTGAGTGTGGCTCTTCCACAAAACACCACGGCCTGGGCAAGTCTATTTTAAAGAAGTAGCGATAGAAAAAGTTTACGTTTAAAAAATGTGGCTCTCCAAAGACATGTCAATCGTTGTCCTGTCCATATCTGGCTCTGTGGACTGGTGAGTTTGCCCACCACTGGGTCAGACAGTGATAAAGGACCGGCTGCACCCACCACAGCCAGGAAAGGGCTCCCACTCAGATCCATTTTACGCAGCCTAACAGCTGACGTTACGTCTGACGCCCACTCACCTCCTGGGTCCCTGCTCAACCTGTCACAGCTCAGGGGTTGGGGGGTGGGGGGTGCGCCTGGGACCACGGGGCCTGAGGTGAGGGGGATTCCTGGGGTGGGGAGCGGGCATGCAGAGCCTCCAGTGACAGCAGTTCCCTCTTTCATCTCAGAGTCTGCCAGGCTCCAATGACTACAGTGTCCCCACTGCTCAGTCCTTTATGCATTGGCAACCACTCCCCCCCCCCACTCCGATTTCATCTGAACTTATCACCCCCACCCTGAGCCTGCAGGCTCCACCGCCTGGAGGGGCAAAGCCCTGGGCCCCACCTTATCGCCCCCCCACATCGCCCCCCCCCCCGGAAGCACGCCATGCGCACCCAAAGGGCAGACCTATGGCCTCAGGAACCCTCCTGGCCTCCTCCCTCTGCTGCCTGAGCTGGTGCCTGCCCCCAGCTGCCCCCTGGAACCGCCTGCTCCCTCTACTGCCCGCCAGGGCACCCTGCACAAGGCCAGCACCACGATGTTCCTTCACTCCACACGCATGGAAGCCCGTGTGCGGCAACAGGGATGCCAGATGCGCGTGAAGTAGACACAATCCCCGCCCCATGGAGCTAACCCCAAATGGAGAGACCGGCAGTAGCAACTGATAAAGAATGACAACCTTCTGCCCGGCCGATGTGGCTCAGTGGTTGAGCACCGAACTATGAGCCAGGTCACCGGAGGTTCGATTACTACTCAGGGCACATGCCCAGGTTGCTGGCTCCATCCCCCATATAGGGTGTTCAGGAGGCAGCTGGCCAATGATTCTCTCTCGTCATTGATGTTTTTATCTCGCTCTCTCCCTCTCCCTTCCTCTCTGAAATCCATAAAAATGTGTTTGGTTTGGTTTTTTAAAGAAAAGAATTATAATCTTCCCAAAGGGGGAGGAAAGCGTGGGGTTGTAAGGGCAGGTCTAGGAGAGGGGCAGGTCCTTCGTCGGACAACCAGGGCCATCCCTGAGGAAGGGGCACCTGAGCTCAGAGCCGGGGTGGGAACAAACCCCAAGCGAGGGACCGGCTGAGCAGAGGCACGGAGGTGGCGAGAGCGCCGAGCTGGAGTGGCTGCGGGGGCAGGGCCAGCACGGCATGGAAGGGGCAGGTGGGACAAGACGAGGCCGGGAGGGAGGAGGGGGCCAGACTAGGCAGCCCCACAGGCCACATGAGAGGTTTCAGGCTTTACCAGGGCCTCAGTGAGAGGGTGGGACAGGCTTAAGCCAGGAGGAGCAGTGCCAGGTCTGCCTTCTCCCAACTCCTCGCTCCGGGGTCCACCCCTCCACCCCGCGGGCTCCCTCCGGGCTGGGAGCTCAGCCAACAGGGTGCCCCTGCAGAGGAAGCCGTCCTGGCGTGCAGACATGGATCCAGGGGCCATTCGGGGGACACCTCATGTCCTTCCAGCCAGTCAAGATGGGAAGAAGAGGTGACGTCGTAGGCTCAAACCTTCCCTTCTGAGCTCAGACAGGGAAACTGTCACAGCGGTCCAGAGACCACTGCACATGCCTCTTGGAAGACAATCACCAACACCCTCTGGACAATTGTGAGCTGGAGCAGGAGACGCAGCCACACCTCACAGCCCTGCAGGCCGGTGAGAACAAAGCTCTCTCTGCTCCCCTACGGCCTGGGGCAAGGACCCTCCACTGTGCCAGCCCCACTGGCCACAGGGTGAATCCCCCAAGAGGCCTCTGGCCGGTCTGCTCACTGAGCACTGCTCCCAGGCAGGGCGCTGGTGGCCCCGGGCTGCTGGCTCCACACGCACTTGGCACCACTTGGCACCGGAAAACCACCGAATCATCCCCATGGTTCTCCAGGCCAAGCCTTTCAGGCCAGCTTTTTTTTTTTTTTTTTTTTAAAGCTTACGGGTGGTTTCTATGGCAACTGGCTTTAGCAAATGGCAGTCAGCCCCAGGCCCACACTCTGACCTGTCCACGAGGGCAGCCAGGAAAAGAGCACAGTCTCTCGCTCGGAGAGATCCTCTCCACCCCGGACCCTGCAGGCTGGATGGGGCGTCTCACAGGCAGAACGCATTGGGGCTGCCAGGACATCTCAGAAACTCGTCCGTCTCCCCACACCCCGAGCACCTCCCCAGGGACCTGAGCGGCACCTATGAAAAGGGCCCTTTGAGATGAGCCCGCCGGAAGCAAACCATCTTACAGCATGGTTTTCCTTCCAGCAGAACATGGGAAGGCCAGCTCTGCAAACTCAAGCCCTGGGCTCTGCTTCCCGCCTCTGAAACGAACTTCCCTCTGCCTCCGTGGACCCACCTAAACCCAGGCCTCTTTGCTAATGTCTCAAAAGTATTAAAACAGAAATCTGAAAACATGTGACCGAGGTCAAGTGTCAGTCTACGTGGTCCGGCCCTGGGCTTGACTCCCGTGTGGCCTGCAGAGCGGGCGGCGGGTCACCACTGTCTGCACTGGGCCCGGTGGCAGAAGGCCTGTGTGCCCCTGAGCCCGCCTCTCCCGGGCCCTCTCCCGGTGCCTCGGGGTCCTTCTCCATGCCAGCCCCCGCCTGGTCCCCCTCTTCCTGGGGCCTCTGGAAAGCGCAGCCTGTCACCCTTTTCCCCAAAGGATTGTTCTCCTCACAAAGGAGGAAACGTCCTGTCCTTATCAGATATCCGGCTCACGCAGAACAGACTGCAGTGAAAACGTATCCCAGAAATCCCGAGGCTGGGAGGTTACCCGGCGGTCACCTCAGTCATCTGAGGCTGCTGAGTGTGTGAGCCCGGGTGGGACAGCCTCCAGGGACCAGCAAGACCTCCCTGAGAAACGCTGAACCCAGTGGCTGAAGCCCTTACACTGCACGTCCCCATGTTCCCCCGACATGCTCTCTCTATAACCTTCTCTTTTTAGACCAGACACAGGGTCCCTGCTCTCCTTTACTCCCAGCGTCACCTCCCCGGGCTGTGTGTTTGGGGGAAAGGGGATGGGAGGCCCCAGGTGTGGCTGTTCTCCAGCTGCCAGGGCACGGGCGGGCTGGGGGTTGTAAGGCCCATTGTCTTAGAGGAACAGGAACACGGCTACAATAGAAGCGCTCAGCAAGCAACAGGCTCCCTACGGTAATGAACATTACTCACCACAGCAGCCCGCCCACCTTGAGAAGTAGGACCGATCAGCATTCCCATTTTACAGAAGAGGAAAGTAAGGCTCAGGGAGGTCATGTGATCAAAGCACCACCTGCACTCGCTGGGCCCGAGCACTGTGTGAAGCGCTTTATGGGCACCGTGTCACCTACTCCTCCCACGCTGTGGGAGGTTTCCTAGTACTAACACCGTCTATAGATATAAATATAAATATAATATGCAAATTGTCCCCGTGGGAGTTTGACCAGAAGACTGATCACTTGTTGTGATGTGTACTGACCACCAGGGGGCAGTGCGGACAAAGGAAGGCCCCAGCCAGCAGCCAGCAGCCAGCAGCCGGGGAAGGGAGGTCCCGGCAGGCAGCTGGAAGGTCCCTGACAGTTGGCCCGGCCGAGGAACCCTACCTGTGTAAAAATTTCGTGCACTGGGACTCCAGTTTTACAATAAGAAACCAGGCTCAGCCAGACCACAGGGGAGCCTGAACATGCCCTTCCCTGTGACCTCCAGCCCTCGGGGAAACATTTCAGGCCACTGGCAAGGCAAAGGCCCCGGAGGGCACCACGTGGGATCCGCACCCCTCCCCCAGGCTGCCCCAGGGAACGGGCCACGAGCTGGGCCACACACAGGCCACGGCTGCATCTGGCTTGCACACAGGAAGCAGGAATCTGTGGCAGAGTCAGCTGGGAGGGCTGAGAGCCATGGGAAGGAGGGAAGGAGGGAAGGAGAGGGTGGCGGAGGTCACAGACCCCGAACGCAGGGGAGGAAGAAGACGCTGTCAGCAGAGGGCTACTGTGTGGCAGTGAGAGTCCCCTTTGTCCTGATAAGGGCAGACAGGAGGCCGGTCTCCAATTATCACACTGCAAAGCCGAGCCCCAGCGTCCCCTCCCACCGGGAGGCCTGCTTCGGCCGCCTCCTCACTGATAACACGACCTTGTCTCTCATGGCCCCCGAGTCGCTTTCCGGAGGAGTGAATCACGTTCTTGTCCACAACAGAGAAGCTATAGGACAAGTCCACGGGGGCCCAGGCAGCACCTCCCGGGTGGTGGGCGGGTCACCGCGGGGTCAGGCCCCGGGCTGCTGGAGAAATGGGCCAGAGGGCGTGGTCTGCGCCGAGACAAGCACAGTGTCTGGGTAATGAGCACAGAGGGGGTCTCCACCAAGGCAGTTCCAATGCTAAGACCTCGAGGACCCCTTTCTTCAAGCTGGTTCCACCTCCTGTGCTCACTCAGAACCGCTGGCTGTGGCTCTGTGTGTGTGTGTGTGTGTGTGTGTGTGTGTGCAGCCGCACTGGGCTCAGCAGGACTCTGATCAGCAAATCATGCCTACACAGGCAGAGGGCCCAGGCGGTGCCAACCATACCCTGGTTCAATCCCATTTCACACCCAACCACACGAAGGCCCTGGCAAGGAAGTGCCTGACCACAAGCCACGTCTTGGCAGGGGCAGAGCCGCCCCGGGAACACACACACACACACACACACACACACACACACACACACACGCAGCCGGGCCGCCTCGGAAGCGCACGAGCAGCTCGCAGGCCCCCCTCCTCCCGTCCCCGCCCACCTGGAACCTGTGCACCAGCTCCAGGGACTGGCTGTCGTTCTGGTCGGCCTCCAGGATGACATCGGTCAGCTTGTGGATGATGACGTCCAGGGGGCCCTGCTCCTCGATCGGCCGGCTGAGGTTCAGCTATGAGGGGAGAGACACAGAGAAGAACTTCAGCCCCCGAGCCCACGGCCCTGCCCGGTCCCCACCCTCCGCACGCCCTCGCAGGGCAGGGCGGGAGGGCCGGCGCCCCTGGGAAACAGGCGGGCCCCGCGGGTGTACTTCCGTCGCCGAGCCCCACGCTGCCCGGGGTGCGGGAGGCACGCGAGGAACCGAGGTGCCCAAGCACCTAAAGTGAGCCATCGCTGTGAAATCGCTTGAGAGAGAGAATATTTACGGAACGCGCCCCCTCGGCCCGACAGCCTGGGTTTTTTCAGGAAGGCCTCGGCGAGGGGAAGTCCCAGCCAGACGTGTGCTGCGGTCCAAGAGGACACTCCGCAACACGACACGCACTCTTAGCAGAGCCGCGGTCTCCATAAATCTGAGCGCGGCTGCTCGAGGCCAGCTGCGTGCACGCCGCAACGGAGCCTGACAGTGAGGGAGCGCGGCTCGCCCTGCTCCCCCGGCGACACCCCGCTGCCACGGGCATGTGTTTATTGTCTCAAGAGCACAAGGGCCCCCGGGGATCGGAGCCGCTGGCTGACAGACAGTCGGCACCACCTGACCCCACGGCAGGAGCACCTGCCAGCAGCCAGGGCGGCCCGACCCGCCAGATGTCTGCCGCCTGCACGCGGGGCCGGGCCTGTGGAGGCAGCAGGCGCCAGCGCGGCACCTGGCTGACCCCCCGGGTGGCCTCGGGAGCAGCCAGATGAGGCACCATCCCCACCCCTGCCCTCGGCCCCACCCTCCCAGCGGGCCTCCCTCCAGGACTGTTTCAAAGTCGTTAGTCAGGAAGGCACAACGACAGCTCCCAATGATGGCTGTCGGAGGCGCAGTGCTAACAACTCAGCGTGCATCCGTTTTGTTCCCAGCCACACGATGAGAAGCGATTTCACAGCTGGGTGGAGAACAGAGGTCTGGAGAAAGCGGGGAGCTGGGACGAAAACAGATCTGAGCCCTCGCTCGTCATTCAGCGCCCCCACCCCTACGCCCTGGGAAGCTGACTCCGGAGCCACGACCCCCTCGCTGCCTTGTCCACCGAGTCCGGGCAATTGGAAGCCCCAATGGGAGATGGGAAGGGGGGAAGGGGATGGGTGGTGGGGATGGGGAAAGAGAGAGAGAGAAAGTGTGTGTCTGGGTGTTTGTTAACCCTCCTCACGCCCCCACCATATTCCTGGCAGCAGCCACAGTCCCCGTGGGCAGGGCAGCCCCTCGCAGAGACTCCTGCTATTCCTAGGGCTCCTGTGCCACCCGCCCTCCCTTCGTCCCCTCAGGCCTGGGGTGGTGACAGCTCCCCCTCCCAGGGTGCCTCCTAGGACCCTGCCCAGATTTAACCGGTTTCAGTTCAACCTTCAGACGGTGCCAGCTCATTCCGGCTGATACCCTCGACTCCTCTTTTTTACTGCCTGCCAGGAAAGATATTAAGGGATTTCCCCTATTAAAAAAAAAGAAAATAACGAAGATTCCCCTTCCCATGGTGACGAGCCTGTGTACAAAACAAAACAGAAAGCGGACCGGTGGTGAGGCCGACCCCCGCTGCCGGGCTCCGGGGCGGGAGAGAGCTGCGGGCCCTCCCAGCAAGCCCGGGGCTGCGGACGATGCCTCCGCCCTCACACACCGGACACCAGGAGCGCGGGAGGAAAAAGGGCCACGGAGGCCACGCACTTGGGACGTGGCCCCGCTGAGGCCTGGACAGGAGCCAAACGGCAACACCCGCGGGCCCAGGCCCCCGCCGAGCTGCCAGGCATCCTGGGCCTGTGCAAAAGCCCCGCTCAGCAATCCCTGCGCCTCAGTTTCTCCTTCAGCCGGAACAGGGCTCTGAGGGGGCCTTCCTGGCTCTGTCTGCAGGTTCTGTATGACAGCCTTTCCCAGAAAGAAAGCAGAAAGTGACAGAAGACAGAGAAGCCGGTGGGAAGTGGGAAAAGAACAGCAGGTTCTCAGAAGGTGCCACGGCCACAGATCCACGTTCGCTGTATCCGGTGGCTCCGCCGAGACAGGCACCGCAAGGAAGAGGCTGGTATTTTCACACCGAGACAGCTACACCCGGAAGAGAACCAGGTCCCACGAGGGATGCTGGCCGAAACTCCCTCCCCCTGAGAACTTCCCGGGTGTCCCGGGCAGCACGAGGGACGGAAATCAGCCCGGGGAGCCGGGGGTCCCAGGCGAAAGAGGGACACCCTGTCTCCTCCTTGCCCGGCATCGGCCAGGGCCTGTAGACCTGACAACCACAGGCTGTTTGGAAAATAAGCTCTCTGCGTTCCCGGCTGCTCCGCGGAAGGTAAACAGTCAAGTTCTGGACGCCGGCCACCTTCCTTTGTGTATTTTCCAAGCATTTTTATGCCAGTATGACCCTTTCAGTATAACACATCAGCCTGCCTGGTCCCTCCCGGCCATCCCTCCCTGCAGTGTCTTTGCTGAGGCCGAAGCCGGCGCCTCGGATGGGCGTCTGGCAGGGCTTTCCTGGTGGCCAGAGAGGCTCAGCGGGGCTTCCACCTCCCCCACGTCTGGGGAGGAGGAGACCGACAGCTCCCTCAGGAGGGGCCTCCGAGGACAGGATGTGCCAGAGGAGGGACCCTCAGAGGAGGGGGATGCCCGACCCTCAGAGGAGGGGGATGCCCCAGAGGAGGGACCCTCAGAGGAGGGGGATGCCCCAGAGGAGGGACCCTCAGAGGAGGGGGATGCCCCAGAGGAGGGACCCTCAGAGGAGGGGGATGCCCCAGAGGAGGGACCCTCAGAGGAGGGGGATGTCTGAGGAGGGACCCTCAGAGGAGGGGGATGTCTGAGGAGGGACCCTCAGAGGAGGGGGATGCCCCAGAGGAGGGACCCTCAGAGGAGGGAGATGCCCCGGAGGAGGGACCCTCAGAGGAGGGGGATGCCCCGGAGGAGGGACCCTCAGAGGAGGGGGATGCCCCAGAGGAGGGACCCTCAGAGGAGGGGGATGCCCCAGAGGAGGGACCCTCAGAGGAGGGGGATGTCCCAGTGGAGGGACCCTCAGAGGAGGGGATGCCCCGGAGGAGGGACCCTCAGAGGAGGGGGATGCCCCAGAGGAGGGACCCTCAGGGGAGGGGGATGCCCCAGAGGAGGGACCCTCAGAGGAGGGGGATGCCCCAGAGGAGGGACCCTCAGAGGAGGGGGATGCCCCAGTGGAGGGACCCTCAGAGGAAGGGGATGCCCCGGAGGAGGGACCCTCAGAGGAGGGGGATGCCCCAGTGGAGGGACCCTCAGAGGAAGGGGATGCCCCAGAGGAGGGACCCTCAGAGGAGGGGGATGCCCCAGAGGAGGGACCCTCAGAGGAGGGGGATGCCCCAGAGGAGGGACCCTCAGAGGAGGGGGATGCCCCAGAGGAGGGACCCTCAGAGGAGGGGGATGCCCCAGAGGAGGGACCCTCAGAGGAGGGGGATGCCCCAGAGGAGGGGCCCTCAGAGGAGGGGGATGCCAGAGGAGGGACCCTCAGAGGGAGGGGGATGCCAGAGGAGGGACCCTCAGAGGGGCACGCGCCTCTGTTTCCCAGAGGGGGCGGGGGTAGGGGCTCAGGCAGAAGCGAACTCATTTCCATCGTGAACTTTTGTCTTCCTGGCCCCGCTCTGTCCCCAGAAAACACGTTCCAGGGGACTTGTTCTTTTCCACGGAAGGGGCTCGATCGGTCTCCCTCTGTGAGCAACAAGGCTTCTCAGTGAAAGGCCGCCTCTGAGGCCGGGGAGGTCTGCGGGCACCGCGCTTCCGAGTCACGCCATCCCGGGAGGCCAACGCTGGGTCCCGGAGGAACAAGGGCCCACTGTTCCCGCGGCGAGGCGGGCTGGCGGCGGGGGAGGGCCGGGAGGAGAAACAAAGCCTGCAAACCCCAGTGGTGGAAAGTCACCTCCAGCTCCAAACAGGCAGCCCAGCCATGCCAGCGGCAGCCGAGGCAGGAGGCTCTGCCTCCCCACCTTCCCGCCGCCTGGTCAGGACGCCACCGCAAGCGGGCTGCAGCAGGCCGCGTATCTGATCGGTGCCTCGGTTTCCCCGTTCATAAAATAAGGATGTGACTGTGTCTCTACACCGCTCGGGGCTGCTGAGATGGGTGAGCACATTGGCTCATGGCTGCGGCACAGGGCGGTGTTCAGCCATGCAGGCCGTTACCCCCGTGCCGAGTGCTCAGGACAACACTTCTGCTCGCTCGCTCCCTTCTTCCACAGGCACTTCCTGGGCACCTGCTGTGGGCCAGGCCCCTGCCCTCTCCTGACGGGCAGAGAGCCCTGGTTCTCTGGGGAGGCAGACTCAGGCGAGAAAGACAGCCACATGCAGCTCCGTGTGCCACGGGGAGACACGCCCCTCCGCAGGGACTGCCCGCCTGCCCCAGAGCCCCGGTCCACACCGTGAGCTCCGACTTGTGTCCCAAAGCCCAGCTCAAAAGTTCATCTTCTAACAACTCACCCTCCCCACGCAGGATGGCTCAATGTGTGCTGAATGCAGACCGCGCTTTAAAGAAAAACCGAACATTGAGACCAACCAGAACAGACGGTCCAGGAAGCAGGGTGCCCCTTCCCTGCCCTGGGATCAGAAGCAGTCTCCTAGAGGAGCAGGTGTCTAGGCCAAGCCCCGGAGGGAGAGGGCGGGGAAGAGGGGGGAGACCGGGGAGAAGGCAGCGACGGGACAGAGAACTCGCCTGCACGGAACACCCTTAGTGTCCATTCCAAACGCCTCAGCGCCCCAGGCCCCACCTCTGCCGAAAAGGGCGTGTCCGACGGCACTGACCTCTGGCAGGCACCTCGGGAGGGTCGCCCACGACCCCCTCTCATGCCTCCTCTGCAGGCAGGAAGCAGAGGGTCCCATAGGAGCTGCCAAGGCCCAGAGGAGGGCCAGGCGCCTCTCATGAGCAGGACTCCGCTGTGGTACAAACTAACAAAGATTCGGTATGTTAAGCCAAAATGTGGGGCGGTATATGCACTCGCCATGAGCCTAGCCCAGTGGTCGGCAAACTCTTTAGTCCACAGAGCCAAATATCA